CTCATATTCTCAATATCGGCCTTCTCCTTGTTTTTGCAGGCAACCGCGCTCCTTAGACCTGGATCGGCGACCTCCAACGGCCCGGCGATGCCCGTGCATGGCTCCAGGCCCTGCCACTTGGGCCTCGAGGGGTCGTCGCGGTAGGCCTCTATGATCTGGGCGACTCGTCTGCGTATCACCTCCATCGAAGCCAAAGGCGCGATGTTCAACTGATCATGCGATCCCGCGCGCGGAACCGCCGCCAGGAGGGTGGTCATCTCGATCGCCGCGCGCTCATTCTGACCGATGCCCTTCTCCTGCAGCCACGGCGCCAGCCATGCGAGCGGGCCCCCGCCAGCCCTCTCGAACCTCTTAGCCACGCGCAGCGCCTGCGAGCGCTGGTCCCCGAAAAAGGCCAGTCTGGGAAGAGGTGGGAGCTCAGCTCGCGCGCGACCGAGCGCCAGGGCTTATGGCGCCCCCCAGCTTCGCCCATCACGATCCAGAGGGTCCTGACCTCCTCGGCCCCCTCCCGCGCGCCTGCGCGCTCGCGGTGCTCCGCCAAGGCGCCCGCGCGCTCGCCGATCTCATCTAGCCCAGCGGAGTCTGCCACCTCGTCACCCTCTCGATCCTCCGTCCACTCCTCGAACTTACGCCCGCGGTGGGCCTCTCGCGCGCTCCTCACGAGCTCGGCCTTCTCGTCGGGCACCACCGCCAGCACGCGCTGCCAGCCGCCCTCAAGCCGCACCACGGCGTTCCACTCATCGAGGCGCACGTCATGTCTCGTGAGCTGCATCACTCGCCCCAGCCCTGGCACCTCCACGAGCGCCCACTCGAGTCCCTTCGGCGGGTCGAGCTCGAGTCGCGGCGTAAGGCAGGTGGCCTCGTCCGGCGGCGGCAGCGGCTGCAGCGCGCCCAGGGCCAGCCCCTCTGGCGCCCCCACGGCAGCGGCGGCGGGGGCCGCCTCGCGCAGCGGAGCGATACGACGGATGGCTCCACCGAAAGGGAGGAGGCGGCCGTGTTCGAGGTAGTGGCTCGGGCCCATCAGAGGCTCACCCGACTACGCCACCTCCGCGCGCGCCAACCTGATGAAGCTCGTCAGGCTCCTTCCATCGTTCGGCTCTCGGGGTTGGTAGAAACCTCCACGCTTCACCGAGGGGCGATCTCCATGTCGTGCGATCCTGAACGCGCGGGAACAGCCCTCAGGATCTTCGCAGGCCACATTCTCAGGGGTGTAGTCACCATCGGGCGAGAGCGTGTACCACACCTTCGGCCCGACTGGATACAAGAGCGTACGATGATGCCAAACCGGATCGTCATCATACCAGACCCCGATGCAATCGCCCGGGATCATATTACTGCAGAGCCCCTGCGTCCCCACGGCGGTGCCGTTCGCCAGCCGCAGCACCGGCCATGTCCCGCGGTGGGGGATCTCCTCCGTCTCCGCGAGCGCCATGGCGACGACGGCACAGCGCACAGGTGGCTATGCCCTCGGCGACTCCTAGCAGGCCCGCCAGCGCTCCCGACCAGCCCCAAGACGTATTCAGCGGGGATTCGTCCGACAGCGGCGGCGCCACGATCGGCTCAGGCAGCTCCTCCAGCGTGCAGAACGGTGGGCCCGTCAGTGCCTCCACTGCTGAAGTGAAATTCCGCACTGCCTTTTCCGCCTGCTCGAGGCGGTCGTCCAGCCGAGCGAGGCCACGGGCATGTCACTCGGGCGGGCCAGGGCAGATCGGCGGAGGGATGCTCTGGGCGACGAAATAGGCGAGGAGGCGTATCGTGGGGAGAATGGAAACCCCGCCGACCGCGAGAGCAGTCGTGCTGCCCATCCTCAACATTTGAGCAGAAGTGCCCGCGGCCGTGGCAACAATCACGTGCACAGCACTTCTATATTGGCCCAAGATGGCCTCCAAGATGGTCCAAGATGGCCTCCAAGTTCGCCCAAGATGGTCCAAGACGGCCTCAAAGACGGCCCAAGAGACTCCAAGACGGCCGAAGAGGGCCCCCCAGAGGCCTCCAAGACGGCCTTAGAGGCCTCCAAGAGGTCCTCCAGGAGGGCCCGAACAGGCCCAAATCATTGATGTTCCTTAGGTCTTTGAAGGATGTTGGCATTCGCTTCTTCTCGGCTTTCCGACGACCCGAGACGGCCCAAGAGGCCCCCAACATCGCCCCCACAGCGCCCAAGAGGCCTCCAAGATGGCCTCAGGACTGCCCAAAAGGCCCCCAAGACGGCCCGAAGAGGGCACAAAGACGACCCAAAACGCCTCCAAGACGCCCAAGATGGCCTCTACGACGGCCCTGGAGCACCCCGAGGGGGCCCCAAGTCGGCCCACAAAGGCTACCCGAACGGCTCCCGACGGCGTCAGACGGGCCATGAGCCTACCAAAATGGCCGAAGTTGGTTCGAAGCTGGCCCAAGACGGCCCAAGAGGTTTCCACGAGGGCCTCCAGGAAGGCCAGAAGGGCCACAAACACTGATTTGCCGCAGGTTGTTGTAGGATTTTGACATTTGCTTCGTTTCGGCCTGCCGACGGCCCGATACGGCCCAATAGCCCCCCAAGATCGCCTAACGATCGCCCAAGAGGACTCCAAGATGGCCCCAGAACGGCACTAGAGGCCCCCAAGACTGCCCCATGAGGCCCCCGAGACGGCCCAGGATGCCTTTTAAGACGCCAAAGATGGCCTACAAGACGGCCCTGGAGCATTCCAAGAGGGCCCCAAGTCGGCTCAGAGAGGCCCCCCAAACTGCTTTCGACGGCGTCGGACGGGCCAGGGGCCCACCAAGACGGCCGAAGATGGCCCTAAGATGGCCCAGGACGGCCCAAGAGGCCTCCAAGAGGGCCTCCAGGAAGGCCCGAAAAGGCCAACATTATTGATTTCCATAAGTTATTGAAGGATTGTTGCATTTGCTGTGTTTCTGCCTTCCGACGGCCCGAGACGACCCAAGTGCCCCCAAAGATCGCCCAAGATGCCCAAGACGGCCCCAAGAGGCCCCGAAGACGGCCCAAGAGGCTTCCAAGACGCTCAAGATGGCCTCCAAGACGGCCCAAGAGCCCTCCAAGACGTCCTCCAAGAAGGCCCGAAAGGGTCAAAATGGCCTCCAGGCGGCCAAGAGGACCTTCAAGATGCCCACGTGTTCCCCGAAGGCTTTCCAAACCGATTCGGGGAACACATGGTCCGATAGCTTGGCAGGTCTGGCCTCAACGTTCGGCCACATAGGCGCTTCCAAAAAGGCAGGGGGCGGCGGTGATTCGCCGTAGGCGTCTTCGATACAAGGAGATGCCAGGAAACCTCCGATACACCCAGACGGCCAAAATTATCTTCGCGCCCGCGCACCGCTGCCTGCAGAAAAACACCCAGACCGCGAAGAACCCCTATCTTCGCACCCGTTACGCAGATCTTGAACCTCCTGGAACGTCGAACTCGCCAATCACATCCCGATGCATTTCAATTATTCCTCCTCCTCCTCCTCTTCATCCTCCTGTTCGCCCTCACCTTCATCATCCGCATCCTCGTCATAGCCATCGTCATCATCAACATCATCAGCCATACAACCCTCACAGTAACCATCATACTCATCATCATCACCACCATCACCATCAGTAAAGGTGGCAAACGCGTAAAATTGTTTACTCCAGAGTTAACTCTCCGACCGGACGTACCGTTAAAAAGTTGTTTACTCCAGAGTTAACCCTCGGACCGGAGATCCCGTGAAAAGTGTTAACTCTGGAGTTAACCCCTCTTGGAGGGGAGCGCAAACAGCATTTGTGATGTTATTGAAGAGAGCGATTGCAAACCCCGGCGAAGGAACCGACGAAACAAGAAAGCCCGCAACGCGTGAGAAGCAATCGCTCTAGATCAGAGCTAGAGTGACGAGCGACTTGGGCCAGAAAGCCTGCAGGGCAAGAGAAGCACGCGCCCTGAACCAGCAAGCCTGCATCATGAAAAAAACACACCTCCTAAATCAGACAGGCCAGCAGAGCTGGAAAAACAAGCCTCCAGAGCCAGAAACATTGCAAAACTAAGGCAGAAGGGATTCATAGCAAGAGAGCGTTCGCATCCGAAAAAAGAAGCCGACGTAACCTGAGAGCCAGCAGCCCCAAACAAAACAACTTTCGGAGCAAGAAAAAACCTGAAGAGCGAGGAAAGGTGGCTCAATAACCGGATGACTCAATAATCAGACAGCAGGGCGAGAGGAGGGCGGCAAAAGTAAAACTACGAGACCCAAACATCACCCCCCTGAGCAGCCCGACGAAAAGTCGTCCATGACGTGACAGGCTGTGAACTGGATTGGGAAACGAGTCGATTGCAGAGAAACCAGCGCGACTTCAGGAAGTAACCCCTGGCAACAGAAAACCCAAAAGGCACATGAAAAGAGCGACTGCGCCGCCGAAAATGGCCAGCCCCAGGGCGATAATGTTTCGAGCACGGGGCCCAGGAAGTGAAAAGAGCATGCGCAGAGGAATTAGAGAAGAGGCGAAATGGTGGCCAGAGGGGCGCTTCAGATGCAGAGAGGTTTAATCTGGAGTAAACCCTTTCCTGTGGCGAGGCACTGCAGGTGCAAGTTCACAATCCAAATTAAACCTTTTTTAACTCGTGATTACACATTTTTGCCCAATCACATGGCTCACACCAGCCCCCTGGCCAACTGCCCCTTTTCTGCGGTCAGCCTTCCGCGGCCCCCGCTCGCCGCCCCTGCGGCGCCCCTCTTCTGAGGAGTTCTTCGTGGCCAAGAGCGCCCGCGGATCGCATGGGCTCCGCCGCCTCGGGTCCGCGGCGCCACTTGCCCATCTCGGCCGCGGCGGTTTCGATGTAGATTCGCGCTGCGCGGGCTTCCCGCCACCGACCTGCGATTGCGACGCGGCCCAAGGACCCGGTTAGAAGCCGCAGCCAGGTAGCGCCTCCGCGACGCAACCCGCTTGGCGCGACGGTGCCACCTTGCACTCCGAATAAACCAGCGAGCCATTTATATTCAAGAGAGAACCGGGATGGCACTTTCGAGTAGATCGGCTGCTGCGAACCCACCCCGGCCGAGGCCGAACGGAGCGCTTCGACGGTCGCCGTGTCCTGGATAATGACATGCTCGACGCCGCCGGCTTTCTTCGCCCCTTTCGTGTCTGGCAGAACGATAATTGCGGTTCTCTCGTCCGGGTTAGTATGAATTTGACTGGGGGTCACAGACTCAATCTCTGCCAGCCGCAGAAGACCCAAAAAGCCCGCGAGGACGAGGGCCGCCAGGTCCGCCCTATCGTACGCAAGCGCAGCGCCAACCATGGCCCGAGCTAGTTCTTTAAAGACCGGGAAGGCGCGCTTAAGCACTAACACTGTATCCCAATTCCTGAGGCACTGCCGGGTTGTAGGGATCGCCGCGCGCGCGCCTGGGCAAAAACGCGCCACGGCAGACACCGCATCCGCCGCGTAGCCGTGGGAGTCGCCGTTGAGCCACATATGGTTGGTGTATTCAGACAATTCATCGTCGAGCTCGAACATCGACTGTGGTATGTTTATATCATATGTTCGCAAATACTTGGGAACAAAACAACAATAAAGCCTTGTCGTAGCGTTCCCGTGTTCTGTTGGTGATGCCGATTTCTTTGAGGTGTCTGTGTTGGGCCTCTTTGAGAAACCCTTTTCTTATTTTTCGTGTGCTACTCATGGCGCCAGAGGCGGCTCGCGGCATCCGCGAACTGCCATTGTGACATGGTCCAGACCCCCACAGAATAGGCATCCATTGCGAGTTCGTAAGCCATCAACCGCCGCCTCGGGCGATTTTGCCTTCGGCTTGAGCTTCTTCCTCTGGCAACCACAGCATGGGCCACCTGGCTGTCGAATACGTTAACGAACCGCAGAGATTGGAAACATCGGGAACGAAACTTTTTGCGAACATAATTTAAATATGATATAAGTTCTAATGCATTGATGTGCTGGGAGACCTTCCAAGGGTTTTCCTGCGCCGTCTCCCACTGCTTGGCGAAGGCCGGGCGAGGGGCACTTTGAGCCTGCTGGGCGATTTTGCCTGTCGCCAAACAGACGTGGGAGCCTCGGGCGTCTGCCCGCGCCACCATTGCTCTCAGGTGGTGGTGCTCCTGTCCGGGGAGCATGCCGCCGAGTAGCCGCATGATCTCGCCCGTTGCAACAGTAGGCCTCTCCGCGTTGCCATTCCGACGGGATTGCCCCAGCTGTGCCAGGACCCAGCCAGGGCGGTCCGACGGAGCCCTGGGCACCCCAGAGGCACCGACATCAGCGAACGTCACGGCGAGAGCCTCGACGCACGCGCGTCGATAATCGTCGGCCGACCAGGGGCCGCGCACACGCGCACCAGCGAATGCTGCATGCAGGCGCGCGCTGTTGTGGAGCAGACGCCAAATGGTGGCCACCCCTCTCGCGTCGCCGCTCAACGCAGCAACGCGGGTGCAGAAGATGGCGCTGCACTCCTGCAGGTCGAGGGCCGCTTGGAAGTGCCACAACCAACTGTGCCACGGGTTAGCGACCACGGCGTAGCTACCGTTGCGCACCCGCGAGAGTAGGCACCGGAAGGCCAGAGATGCCATCCGGTTGGCAAGCGCAACGCGTCGCTGCGCTGCCTGCCCCACTCCCCGGCCCCCATAGGGACTTTCCTTGGTGCGCGCGTTGGCGCCGCATGCGCATCGGGTTCCCAGGTCGCCTGGGCAGACGCATACGAAAGTATCAAGGGGCATTTCCCAATGCTCCCACTGCGTATCGTAATGGTCTGCTTCTGTGTGAACGTGGCGTTGGACCTGCGGTTCGGAGAAATCCCGCGGCCGCTCCAACGGGTGACGGACGCCGATGTTGGCGCGGGCGACATCCCACGTCAAACATGCCGGCGCTGGGCGGCGCTCGAAAAATGCCGGTCGCCCCGCGTGCGACGCTTGGCAGATGCGCCGGCAGTGCGTGGGCACGCATGGCACGGAACACATGGATGCCCCGCATTGTTCGGGGTATTCTGCCAACTCGCGAGCGCGCGCCGCACCGCACGCGGCGCAGCGCCGCTGCGGGGCGCATTCGCCCTGCTGGCTTTCCGCGAGCTGCGCAAAGTGAGTCTCGAACCGCTGGCCCGCCTCGCGCCCCAGTTGGCGTCGAAACTTGACGGCTTCAGCCGCGCCCCCGCCATGTTCCGAAGCGTCTGCGCATGAGATGCTGCGCTTGACAGGGGCCCTGTGATTCGAGTGCGCCAGGGGCAGGAGCATGGTGAAAGACGGGATTTCATGGGCCACCGTGGGATCTGGCCAGGTTGGTCTAGCCACAGCGCCTTGAATGCAAGGAAAAATCTGCTCTAACACCGCAAACAGGGGCCGGCGGAAGCCTGCTGCGAAGCAGGCCTGCCCCGCCCAATGTCGCAGCGCACCTGCCGTCCAAGACTGCTGGGCAACGAGGGTTGCCCCCTTGAAGGCGAGGCGCTGCGCTTTGCCTGGCGCCACGGAAAGCAGCCCGAGGCCCCCCATAAAAAGACCGCCCAAGATGCCAGCTCGAAGCGCTGACACCATAGCTTTGCCAGCATTCAGCGGGATGCCATAACTCTGGCACGTATGGACGAATGCCGAATGTTCCGCTGACTCGGGCTCGTCCAGGTTGCCCAGTCGAGTTCGCGCCTGGCGCGCGAAATCAAAACCATCTAGACACGCCACGCTGACATCGCCTTGCGGCGTCGGCCTATCAGGGCGAAGTTCTGTGTCCGAGCGGACGTTAGTGCGTTCAAAGACAAGCGCGCGGATGACTCTCTGCATGATTGACACGGCCGCCTTGGACCCCATTGCCACGGTGCGGACGCCGACCCAGCCGAGCTGGTTGGGATCGCCATCGAAGGCTGAAGCGGACACTTTCTTGGCAAATGTGCGAAAGCCAAGCCGCTCTGGCGGCGGATAAAAGATGTTTAAACATCCTTTCTGGTCTTCTGTATCCGTCCACAACTCGTCTCCATCTTCAAGAAAAGCGGTGGACAACAAAGATGCAAATGGCAATGTGTTGTCGTCGCCCCTCAGTTTCCGAATGTATGCGTTGATTGGCGTGAATATGGAAATAAAGCGGAGCAATACCTCGCCCCCGTCGGGGCCCTTTGGGGGCTCGTCGATCCCCACGGCTCCGTTGAGTACAGGCCGCCCGGCCCGATCACGGAAGACTTGGCGGTAAGGGACTTCGGCAAAAATGCCTCTTTGAAAGCCCTCTGTGACGATCTTGCATCACTCCCTGTCGGACGCGTGGACGCGAGAAATGGGAGGTTCGGATGGCCACTCCGATTCCGGCAATAAGCAAGCCCATGGGTTCAATACGTCATCCAGGAATTCACCGCCCAAGAGACTTGCGACCGGAACTGCGGCCGCTTCACCTTGGAGGGGCCACGCCGGAAACGCTTTGTCTGCGATCAGAGCCCGCCGAGTGGCCACAGGCTCTCCCATATAATTCGTTTGTCGCGTCTGGGGGTCTTCCTCCAGACTCTCTACTGTGGGGGTCGGCCTCGTGTAGGAGACCGAAATGTGGGCGGCTTCCCACAAATGGTTCACAACGCCTTCCTGGGTTGCCGTCAGTGCTGGGCTCGCCGGCTTTGGCCTACCATCCTTCCAAGGATCGGCAAGCTCCGGCGCGCCTTCCCAGGCCGCTTGGCCGTGGAAGTTTATGGCGAGTGCCGCGCGTGCGACGGCCGACTGGCGCGCCGAGGTTGCGTCTTCCGCCAACCCTTTGGCTTGCGATAATTCGCGCGCCTTGTTCTTAGCCATCCTCGCGGGGATGGGGGCAGGTCATTGTTGGGCTGAGTGCCCGAATGGGGATCGAGAGAGGCGTGGCGCCCAAGCGGGGTGTCCAGCCACGGTAAGGAGTCCTCTAAGAGATCCCATATGAGACTTGTAGCTTTTAGCTCCTTCAGCTCTTGTCGGAAGATCCGCCGCTGGGCCCAATTGAGCACGGCGGGGGAAGACAGCGTAGGGAGGAGGGGGAAAAGAGGGAGGGGGGGCCAGGGGGAGGCGGGAAGGGGTGGGGCGAAGACAGAGGGGGGGGGGCCGGGAGGGGGGGGAGGGGGGGGCAGGGAGAAGCGATGGGATGGAAGGAGAAGGGGGAAACGCGGTTGTCTTCGCCTGTCTCGCCCCGGGAAAAAGGCTCAAATCTGTGCCGACGGCGGAGCGGCGTCCAGACCGTTGCGCTCTCAGCTGCTTTTCATCGCGGAGGCATTCTGTCGGACGGAGCGCTGTCGCGCCGGCTGCCTCTTGCAGGGAAACGGGGGGCAGTGTTTCAAAGCGGCCCCCGGGGGGCCCCCAACCTCCTGCATCGGCCTGCGAATTACGTTACCACTGTGCATTACGGTGCGCTACAACTGGATATGGGCGCACACTTTTGGCTCCAGGCCGGCCTGGCCAAGCGAGCAAGTGGAGCCGAGTCCAGCATGGCAACGAGGCAATGACTTCGCTGGGGCACGGCGGGGGCGCCGAAGGCGAATAGATAGGCTGCAAGCTTGCGAAAGAAAGGGGAGTAGGATGCATCGACGATAGGATGCGAATTCGGTCTGGCACAAATGCGTTTTCTTGAAAAGGCGCCTTGTCCCGGTGGGGCCGCGCTGCAGGGCCTGACCCCAATGCAGCTTGATTGAGCTGCTTGGGGGGGGGGGGGGGGGGGGGGCAGCATGGCTTCGCCAATGTGGACGCCGTCGGAATCGACGTCCGAGCGGCCCTGCGCTCCGCCAGGGGCCTCCTCGGGCGGGGTCCCTACACCGGGGTGCGCGGCACAGGGGCCCGCCACTATCCGATTGGACAGCAGCGGGAAGTCCTTGCGCGTAGCTAGAGCCACCGCGCTCTCTGCGGAATCAACATCCGCCGCGCATTGCGCGCCCGGGGCCCTATCCAAAATGGGGGCCGGCGTGGGCTCGACATCCACGGTGGCTGCGGCTTTCCTGGAATCGACATCCAAGGCCGCGCCGCGATGGGCATTGGGGAAGATCACCACTTCCCCGGTTTGTCCTTGCCTTTTCCTTTGCTCTTCGGCGTCGCGTAGAAGTAGTGGCCCTTGCCCGAGTGGGGGCACCTTTGCGCGGGCCCGTCGTCTGTCCACCACGCCCGCTGCGGCTCCGGCTTGCCGCCCTTGCAGCTGCTCGCCTGGGCGCCCCCCGACCGGGAGCTGAGCTTCTGCTGCTGCTGGACCTAGTTGCGCATCGTGTACTTCTCTGTCGTGTTGACGAGAGAAGCGCCCTCGTCTCCACGAACTCCTGGAACTGGGCGTTGTTCCAATTCCCGTCCAAGGCGACTTGCTCCGAAGACTTGAGGTGCTGGCAGGCAAAGTCCCTGGCGCGGTCGACCTTCCCGAGCGCCAACAAGTCCAACATCTTGCGCATCAGCGACATTTCGGACTTGTTCCCCTTAGACAAAATGTACTTCGTCGACAGGACTCGGAGAAAGTATGCGCTGGCCGCCGGGGTTCGTTTTCCTCTGTTGTCTTCGTCGTCGCTGTTCGACTCGGCCCCAAGCGCCACCGCCTTCGCCATCGTCCGAAACAGACGTCTGGAGAGGCGGCCCGGGTGCCGTCGCGCAAAGCGCAAGAGCGGCTCCTGGGTCACAGAAGACCGGCCCCCTGAAGCCGAGGCTACGTGAAAACCCTTCTCTTCCGAGTCACTGCAACTCGACTCTCGCAAAAGCTTTCTCCTCTTTCTGTTGAGTGAGTCGGGCGACGCCTCGCGCTCCCTCGAGCGTTCTGGGCAGTCCTCGCGGCGCCTCGCATTTGCCTTCCGGCCCTGAGACCCGCCGCGCTCGTGCCGAGGCCGGCCTCGGTCCGTAGGCCGGCTCTCGCGGTCTCCTTTGCCGTCCGGGGAAGAACCGTCTCGCTCTTTCCTAGCCTGCCTCCGCCTATGAGACGCCCCCTCTGCTTTCCGGTCTTCCGCGGCCGCCCGGTCCGCGAGCCCCTCGCCAGCTCCCAGCCGGCTCCGGAGGTCGACCAACTTCCGCGGCCCGCGCCGCCCCCGCGGCTGGCACCCCGAGGCCTGTCCTCGTCGCCGCGACGCTTGTCCCCAGGCTCTTCCCACAGGGCGCCTTCAGGAGCCCCCGGGCCCCTACGCTCGCCTGGGTGAAGGGCTTCTTCTGGCGGATGCTCGAGAGGCGGCGGGAGCGGTGGATCCGCAAGAGCAGCCAAAACTTTCGTTTTGAACCTCTTCGCAATCCATGCAACCTCGTCCTTCTTAGTGTCGTCAATTGCGATCGGCCTTCAAACCTCTATGTGGATTTCGTTCCGGCCTTGGTGCTTCCGGCACTCCGCGCTGTCGTCGGGGCACGCGTGGTAGGATCCTTTTTCGGGCCACCCGCCACGCAGCATCCAGTGCGCGATAATCGTCAGAAGCTACGATATACTTAGCTTTGATGCTCACCCCGCCTCTGGGCGAGCAGTCTGCGCTCAACACTTCTAGCAGATGCGATCCCTGGGGCTTCCCCGCATCATCGTACGCAAGCGCTTCTATAAGGCGAGTGCCTTCGAGTCTTTCGAGAAGAGCCCCATCCGACAGAGACCCTGCTTTATGCCATGGCCAGGCCATGATGCCCAAAGGGGCCTATCGCTAACCCCCCCCTTGAGCCTAAACCGCTATGGGTGCATTCCCTGCTCCCTGTCTTTACCACGGCGCATTCCCTGCTCCCTGCCTTCACTATGGATCTCTGCACCGGCATGGAACGTGAACCGCCGGGGACCTAGCTGCGCTGCGTTCCCCTCGCTCTTAGAGTGCCTTCGCCAGTTGATCCACACAATCGAAAGCAATTTCGTGTGGACCAAAATGTGGTCGAAAGTCGTTTTTTATTCAGAAACGCACGGGTGGTCTGCGCCTGATAGCGCTGATGCATATCACCTCCAGAGTGCAGGGCCGTCTGCGCCGCCCCCTCATTGGCAGGGGCAGAACTTTAGCGAGTTCTGGTGGTCGGCTCGGGGGAGAGGTTCGGCTCCTCTGGTCTGGGTGCAAGCTGCCTTCGCCGAGTGGGCTCAGGGGCGCGACCTTTTTGCAGGCACGGTGCTCCTAGACTTGCACAAAGCGTTTGACGATGTCAGACACGGCGAACTGCTCAAGGCGGCTCAATCCACGGGATTCCCTCTCAGGCAGTTGCGTTTGTTGGTGGGCCTTTAGAAGGCCCCGCGAGTCCTGGGCCATGCTGGGGCCACGTCGGCCCCCATCTGCACCGAGAAAGCGGTGCTACCAAGATGCCACTTCGCCACTTTAATGCTGCAGGTCGTTTTGCTTGCACCCCTGGATGCAGTCCAGGCCGCTTTCCCGCTCCGCACTGCTCGCGAGGTTCAGATTGGGGTAGTGGTGGACGACTCGGGGTTGCACAAGGTGGGATCCTCTGAGCAGGTGCGTGGCACACAAAGTCAAGCCACTCTAATGTTGCATGATAAGCTCGATGCTATCCATCTTCCCATCAATAAGCCAAAGTCGCGTGTGCTAGCCGCTAGCTGCTAGCCTCCTGTCCTCAGCTGCGAGCGCAGCTAGCGGCCGCGCTCAAGCGTAAAAGAGTGCTCAGCATGCAGTCAGAGCGCAATCTCGGTACCGATTAAGCTGCATGAGGCGTCATCAAGCGTCGCACCAAACTTGACAGGAGAGCTGCCGCGCGTGTGCGCCATGGCAAGATCCTCACCCTTGCTGGAAAGCTTCGCAAGTCTCGTGTGCATCACATGGTTCGTGCTGCCGTGCAGGCTTCCACCTCGTATGGGTCGGGGGCGATGGGCGGTAACGGAGGACGCGAGCTCAAGGAAGCTCGTTTCCAGCAAGCCTCAATCCAATCGAAGTGATTACCAGGTAGGTCTATAACGCTCATGTTGCAGTTTGCTGGGGTCCCGCGCATAGATCCTGCGTATAACCTCAATGTGTCTCTCCTCTTCTTGCTATTGCCTTCTCGCTTTGGAACGGGTGGGTTCCGAGGGGGGGTGCAAGGCCTTGCAGAAGCGTGGCAACAACTCCAATATCACGGCTCACCATGGCAAGCAATGTGTAACCCTTTGACCGCGGCAATGGCCACGGCTATGCGTCTCGGCATTCGGATGAATGGGCTTGAGTGGCAGCATCCTAGCGTGGGCGAGTTCTCGGTTGATGCTCTGTGCCCCCGCACGCTCAAGAAAGCCCTTGAAACCGTTGTCGAGGGCTGGCTCTGGACCAGGGTAGCCGACCACCTCCAGATGCCAGGGTTGTTGCAAGCCCCGTTCCTTCCGCCAATAAAAGCGGGTACGCCGATGCCGAACGCGCATGAGCGTGCGTGTGTAGTCAGTGTCTTGTGTCGGCCGGCCAATAGCCGCAAGACCGTCAGTACCAGCTCAGACCCTTGAGTGAGCAGCATTGTCGAGTGTGCTTCGCGGCCCCAGGGACCCTCTTGCACAGGCACGTACAGTAGGGGCCCGACCACAAGAAACCTTCCACAAGAAACCCAGCCCAGAGACCCCAGGACGTCCATTGATTTTTGGTGTGGGAACGCCATGCCTTCCATCGCAAAACCATCGAAACTCAGGAAACCCAGGGCACCGGGAGGCAAGCAGGGAGTTTCTTGGCATGGGTCTCCACTGTCGGTTGCTCAGGTCATCAGGACCTCCTCGAGTTGGAGCAGGAGCCGCCTGCTTGTGCGCAGGCCATGGTAGCAGCAGCAGCTAATCCTCTCGTTCGCCTCCTCCTCGAGCGGCTGCTTGTGCCGCCGCCTGCGCCTCCTCCTCCTCCTCCTCCTCCTCCTGGTCTTCCTCCTCCTGAGGAACTGTGGCTCTATGGGACCCCAGACGGGCTCGGGGGAGATTGCTTTCTGGATGGGAGCCTCTTCGATTATGAGCCTCCGTCGACTGCACGTTCGCTAGGCTGGGCCATCGTTTCCTTGTGCGACGATCCGTCCTTGCCGATGGGGCGAGCGAACCGTGCGGTGGTGGCGGGGGGGCTCCCAGCTGATCATTTCGATACTGATGCGTGTGAGCTTTGGGCCTTTTTGATGGGCCTTAGGCAGGCCCTTCCTGGAACCACCTTCTGGACCGACTCCAGTTTTGTTTTCTTGGGAGTCTGGGAGAGAGGGCGCCAATTTTGCTGCTCTGCCAAGGCCGCGTGGGCTGACATCCGGAAGCTTGTGTGGCACGCCATCGAGGACAGAGGAGGCCTCGATCAGCTGCGTCTCAGAAAAATCAAGGCGCACACTACTAGATCTGACGTGCTTTCACGGGTTGTTTCGCCTCGGGTTTGGTGTGCAACGCACTTGACGATACTTCTGCTAAGCAGGCCGCCGAGTACAGCAGAGTGTCTTTGCTGTATCGTCCAGTTCAAGGTGGTGAACACCCTCAATCGGTGGGTTGGCCTGTGTGGCCCCCCGGTGGCCGATCTTGACTGTGAGCACGTCCCCATTTCCAAGCGAGTCAAGAAACCTAAGTCTGATGTGCCAGTGCTGCAAGCAATTCCTTCTCATCCCGTGGTCTCGTCGTTCGAGAGTCGAACCGACGTTGCGATCGCGTTTTTGAAAAGAGAGGGTCGCTCCACCCACAGAGTCCTTCCCCTTTACTCTCGCGGGGGAAGCGGAGGGTGGTGTGTGCTCGTTGTGCGAATGGTGGAATCACTATTTCTAAACAATTTAGACAGCCGTGTCCACCTACGCCCACCAACTGGGGAACCAAAGTTCTGCGAAGCCTTGCACAGGGTAAGTACAGGCAGGGGAAGCAGTGCATCCTTCTCACTGAAGCCTGGAACCCTGCGAGTTTGGAAAGAAGTGGTCAGGGCTTGGACCCAGGCCGCCCTCGGAGAGAGCATCCTGTCGCTGGCCCCTCGACTGGATGGGACCCCCAATCGGGGGTGACAGAAAGGTCGTCCTGATGGATGTTCTCCCGAGGGTTTGCTCTGAGGGTGCTCGTGGGGATCTCATGAACGGCTCCTGCGTGCGAAGGAGGAGGGGGAGGGAGGACCGGGGGAGGACAGGGGGAGGAGGAGAGGGAGGAGGAGAACGGGGAGGAGGGGGAAGAAAAGGAGGCCAGGGATGAGAAGCGGGAGGACCATCAACGACAGCTGCTCGCCCTCCTCTGAGTCGGGGCCCGCCAGGCCCGGGCGGTCGCGCCGGAGCTGCGAGATCTGCATGAACTTCAGGGCGCCGACCTGCTCCAAGACCTGCTCCTGCCTTCGGGGGGGGCCGAGCGGACCACGGTGGCCACGCGGCCCCGACGGGCGAGCGGAGGGCAGGAGCAGAATATGAGCAGGAGGAGGGAGCGCCGGAGCGGCTCCTGCCTTCGGGGGGCCCGAACGGGCAACGGGGGCCACGTGGCCCCGCCGGCCGACAGGAAGGGGGGAACAGGATGAGCAGGAGAAGGGAGCACCGGATAAGCAGGGCCAAACATGCGGTCAAGAAATACTTCAATCTGGAAACCTGGGTCACCTCCACGGAAAGCTGGGTCAGCTTGGGTTTTCCCCCTCCTCTGCCTCGTCTGCCTCCTCCTCCTCTTCCTCCTCCTCCTCCTCCCCCTCCTCCTCTTCCTCCTCCTCCTCCTCTTACTCCTCTTCCTCCTCTTCCTCCTTCTCTTGTTCCTTTTCCGTCTTCCCCCTCCCCCTCCCCCCCCCCCCCTCCTCCCTCCTCCTCCTCCTCCCTCCTCCTCCTCCTCCTCCTCCTCCCTCCTCCTCCTCCTCCTCCTCCCTCCTCCTCCTCCCTCCCCCTCCTCCTCCTCCTCCTCCTCCTCCTCCTCCTCCTCCTCCTCCTCAATCGAGAGGAACCTTTTCCTCCCTCGCAGCTCACGCCGAGCCGCTCCACATCCGGCGCCCTCGGGCGCAGGCCGCGCTCCCTGGCGCGCAACCTCCTGCTGCAGGCCTTGAGCCAGGGCAGCAGCAGGTCGCCGTCGCTGCCCTCGCTCTCGCTCCATTTGTCCAGCACCAGCCGCCAACGTGCTCCGGAGAAGCGTTTCCGGAGCACGTTGGACGATTCTCGACTCTGGTGGTGAACGTGTTCAAATCGTTGATCTCCAGCTCGAGGTCGTTCTGCAGCGTGCTGACGCTCACGACCTCAAGCTGGTCCAACCAGTTCACGAGCCGATTCATCTTCGTAGCCAACTCAGCATCTGCATGAATTCTAACATGGAGAAATCGGCTCTGAGACCCCATCCAGGTGCGTCACGATTATCTCGAACTTCGGAGCACGCTTCCAGTAGATCTCCAAGCCTTGACCGGGTGTTACGTCTCCCACTCACCGCGTGCAACGTCCCTCAGGGCGTCTCGTTGAACACTTCCTTTGGTAAGCCCATCCGCGCAGCAGTCCCTGGTGTCGATCCACCACAACGTGCGCAAGATTAGCCTGTCCAGCAACTCTCTGACCCACTGGGCGTGGTACAACGTGTGCCTCTCCGCTGGGATACGCACCTGCTCCGCCGTGATGCCACTGAATACGCTCTGTGCGTCCACGCATGCCTCCAATGGCAGCGCTGGCACCATGCAGCCTGCAGCTCCATCAACCATGTCACGTAGCTGTCGTGCGTCCAGTTCTCCACCTCGTATTTCGGTCATGAAGCCTGCCGGCAGCAACAGATAGTCGCAATCGTCGGACAGCTGGCATAGCGCGGCGCCCCATGTCGATCTCACCACGTGCGCCTGCTTCCTCGAGTAGTACTCCAGCACGTTGCATCGGCCTCCTGGTCCTTCACCGTCTTCTACGATTAGATACACCGCACCGCGCATGGCCAGACCCTTGTCGTCTGGCTCTCTCCTGAAAGCTGCGTCGCCGACTGTGACCAACTTTACCGGCAGCTTTAGCTTGTGAGTCGTCAGCGCCAAGGGGTGCTCCTTCATGCACTTCAGCAGCACATTCATCTTCTTGATGTGGCCTACCTTCGGCGCCTTGCCGTGTCTCTGCAGCGCCGCCACGTAGATGCAGATGTCGATCCTCGCCATGATACACCACGCGATAGCTCCCAACAGCGAGGGGTACTGTTTCACGTGCTGCGCTGGAGGGTCGCCCTCGTCGCCTAAGCCCTGCAAGCCCTTCTCGTCGATGCAGTTGAGGTTCTTGACGTACTCGATCAGGTCAACCTCTATGCTCATGTCGTCCAGCTGTCGATGGCGTAGTCCACAGTGGACGAAACTCTTCTCGTGCATCGCCATCTTTCCGAAGACTGCCTCCAGCCATGATATCATCTCGTCCCTGGCCTTGTCACGGCCCCCGTGCTTCAGGTCGTCAAGATGCGTCGAAGCCACTAGCGCCAGGACCTTCCCCTCGCGCTTCAACCACAACTGCGGGTCCGCGTGAGCAGCACGAAGACAAACCGACAACAGTACTTGATCTCGACGAAGTCCGAACAGTCTCGGCGCGTCGTTCAAGCCGAAGCCGCCCTTCTCCACGCGCAGCACCTCCAACACGGTGTTGAAACCCTCGAAGCCCTCAACCTCGCAGAGAAGCTCCGCCGTGCCCTTCGGCAGCTAGAAGCAGATGTCCCAAATGGGCTCTTTCAACAGCTTCGCCACCTCCTCGAACGTCATACCTTGGAGAAACGCCGAAGATATATCGGCACTGCACAACTTCCACTGATGTTGGGCGGCAAGTATGTTGACCATTCTCTGACCCCATCTCGTACTCGTCGCCATAAACGTCTTCACCTCATCTTTGTGACGGTCTTTGAATCCGCGTACCGTTAGCCTGCAGCGTATTATTCTTACCATCGTGCCGTCCGATGCTTGGGTCCACTTCCACTTGTCAACCCACTTCGCGTCGATCAAGTTGTTGGCGTTCTTGCGCGAAATTCTCGACATGGCCTTGAAGCCAGCCCACTGCCGTAACTCCTTCAACCTTGCTGCTCGTGCTGCTTCTCGATGTTCGATGTTCTCCGCCGCCGTCAGCAAGTTGTCGTCGCGCTCGATCACCGCCTTGGCCGTGCCGTCATCGTAGAAGCTCTGAATGACCACGTCGTCCTCGTGCGAAGCTTCTCCGGCATTGCGTGGCTCATTCAGCATCTTCCAGGCCTCCGCTGCGAAGCCGATCTCCATAACCTTCTCGGGCTGCAGGGACTCTTGGATATCTGCCGTCATCTTGCCGTAATTCGCCTCCTGTGTGACCCAGGCCTCCAGAATGTCATAGTCCTTGATCACATCCGTCCTATCTATCATCGAAGTGTCCTGCTCCTCTGTTAAGTAGCTCGCGTACTCCCTGATGTCCTCCTCATCGCTCTTCTCCTAGCTGTCCTTCGGCATGTTCCACATGGCCTCTATCGAGAACAGCTCGTCCAGACTCTCGTCGCGCTCCTCCTCTGCGTTGACCTCCTCGTTGGCTACCTCCTCGGGTGCTAGTGCCGCAGGTGGTCCAAGTCCGGGTGGAGGTTCAGGTAGTGGCGCCGGTGGCGCCTCCCCGAGCTCGTCCGCGAGCCTCCTGGACACGTGCTCGGCAGGGTTCTCGGAGCCCTGGGATCCGGCCGAGCGTGGACGCTTGGGAATGGCTCGATGTTTTCGCCTCCAAGCATCGACACCTGGTAGATGGGGTCCTCCAACATGTGGTACCTGTGGTGCTTGTCCCTGTAGCACGTCTAATACGTCCGGCTCCACCGTCAGGAACTGCATGAAGTAGGATGCGCTCCTGCAGCCCTTCTCGCCGAAAATCTGCCTGAGGCTCAGATGTTATGATGCTACTCCTCCGCCGTAACACATAGCTTCCACTCCAGTGTCTCCTTTGCCTTGGCGTCTCGGCAACCACCAACGCATCGCGTAAAAATCGAAGTCGTGCAGACCTGGCAGAGTCGGCACCTTCTTACCAACTCGAGCTGCTACCACTCCATTGAGATGTAGACCACAAGATGCCACCTGGAACATCGCAGCCACCACGCGCGGGCACTTCTGCGAGATCTTGGTGAGCGTCCACCCCCCAGAGGTACTGGCCCAGCCCAAGTGCTCGAAGCCCTCGGCGATGCCGTGCACGAGGTCGATCAGCGTCTGCGCAGGGTCGCTCTCATTGGATACGAAGACCACCGGGTAGACGAACAGGATCGCTCTCCTCACGTCCGCGGCCTTTATTGCTAAGTCCCTGCCCTGCCAGTTCACCGTCAACGTGCCTGTTTCGGGTGCCGCCGCTGATACTGCGGTAGCTGGTCCCTTCCAGTTCGGTACATCCTTAGGTGCCTTCCCTGGCTTGTAGAAGTCCACGAGGTCGCCGATCTCGAGCTTCAGGTCCATGAATGGTGCCGCCCTTGACTTCGATGCTCTTTCCATCCTAGCTTGCGCTGTCGCCTCGATGATCGAAGTAGTCGAGATTTCTCGAAGTCGTTGAGCGTGCCGAAACATGGCCATACCGTCTTCATCATCGTGTTATTGAGATCCACTTCGGTCGAAATCTCGAAGCATAAGGGGAACTCGTCCGTATAGAGCCTTATATGGCGTGCCCTGGCCGATGGTCAAGAATGCGTTCTTCACGTAGACTGCCTCCGCCAACGTCCTTGCGAACGATACCTTGATCTCGCTCTCGCGGCACTGGGCGTCGATCAAGTGCAACTGCTTCCGCAAAATCTCGTGGTGTCGTTCAACTACTTGCGCGTGCTGGCCAAGCGCCTCTAGCTTCCTGGTGGTACCCATCCTTCCAAGAGCGACTCTAGCCTCCTCGGATGCCATGGCTCCTTCGCCGTCGACCGTGAGCACCGCCATGGGGCCGAACATCTGTATCCAGCCGGTCCAGATGAAGTCCAGGAGAGACTCCAGCGTCCTGTCGGTCAGCTCGCGCGCCACTGTGAAGCGCATGCAACCGTCGCATAGATGGCCGACCACGCGCCTCTTGTAGAACAGCAGGTCCAGCTGCACCTCGTCGTTGAACTCCGCGCTGGGCTTGACCGTGGTCGTCGGCTTGTTGCCGCCCTTCAGCCAGAGCCTGCAGACCCTGCAGGTGTCCACGATGTCGCCAACCATTTGGATGACCTTCGGCGGCACGCCCGCCGCGGTGAGCATGCGCTTCATGGCCTTCTTGTTGGCGTGGAACCATCGTAAGTGTAGCCGTCGAAGTACTCTTCTCGAGGCCACCTCGTTGTTCCTGAACAGCGCCCGTCTCGCCGAACCTGGATCCCAGCTTGACCAGTCACCTTCCATGTCTTCATCGCCTTCACCTGCTTGAGCTGGTGGCCTAGCTCCTTCATCGGGCACGTCTTCAACGTCGACCACTCCGTCAGG